CAGAAGGGCAAGGTCTTTCGATTACCTATTACACAAATTAATGACTCTGAATAAAGTTCTTAATCGATTTTCAATGAAACGAAATAAATGCTGTGCGTCCGATTTGCTGATTCACTTTAGCAAGCATCGTTTGTGAATACGGGCGAAAGCTTATTTATTTTATCGAGACAGCTTTAAACACACATGCTATCTAATACATCTATGCAAAAAGCTTTTAGATTTAGTTTACAGAATATTGAATAAAATCTCCATAACTCTCCTTTTATACTCCCAAAATTTACGTAAGTATTTCACGTGTTACTAAGTGAGTGCCGGCGTATTTCACGCGCAATTGTACCAACATTAATTATTATACTTCTGAAGCGATGAATACAAAGTGTTATCAGCTGTACCGTGGATAGGGTGGCCATGAAAATTTTGTGCACGTCTGCCCTTGAAGTAGGGACGTCACGAGTCGATAAAACTGTAGCGATAAGGCCGCGTTCAAACTAAATTACCGGCTGTAATTTGCGTTTTTGAGTTTCTTGTTTTCCTCATTAAAATTTCAGTGAGTAAATCGTGTAAAGTGGGCCAAGTCACCGGAAGAAAGGGTTTCCGTCATCTCCAGAATCAGTCGTTACAATTCCATAATTGTGTAGGACCATTCCTAAAATGGTGTTAGGGCAGGCGCTATATTTGTGATGTGTTTAATTTGAATTTATTGTTGCGGCATTCAGACTATGTAGCAAAATTGTATTTATGTTGATGTGTACAACACTATGCGCCTCCGTGTCCAATCGAATTACGAGTTTCGTTGACCATACCTAGTATGAATTTTCTCGTCCATTAGGGCTTTCAGTGAGCTTGCACATAGTAATTATTTTTTTCAGTCACAGAAACTTTTTTCTACTTGAAAAAATAAAATAAAATTGCCTCAGGTGGCAATTGAACCCACGACCTGCTTATACTCGTCGTAGTATCTGCTGAAAATAGTTTAGTGTGAATGAAGCTTTACGTTGAACGGCCCCACGCACGATACGCGGCTGTTACGCAGTTGATTAATCGCTGGAGGAAAATTTACACAAAGTATACAATATGTTTTAAATATTGCCGAATTTTACGCGTCGAAATTTTAAATGGAATGAATTAAATGTTTCAGTGGTTTATTAATTTTATTTGCGAACTTACTTCCGTATGATTTTAGCATTTTAATACTAATCTAGGTTAAAATGCTGTCGTTAGCGGAGCAAATAGACTTTTTTCTATGTCAAGGTTACATTTTATAAACACAATCGGTCGATAGAGAAATAAAGCTATCAAGGAACTTAATTTTTAGACCAACGTAGTTTGAAATTGAAATATCGGAAACTCTAAATTAAGGTACATGGTAGCAACCCCGTCAGTAATAATAATTATGATAGTGACCATAAAAGTTTAACACAAAGCTCATCCCACGCGAATTTTAAATACTAGTTGAATTTTTTTTACGCATATATTCGTCGCGGAAGGTGCCTGGATGCGAGTAGCGCAGGACCGATCTTTGTGGAAATCCTTGGGGGAGGCCTTTGTCCAGCAGTAGACGTTTTTCGGCTGAAACGAACGAACGCATAATCGATGGAGAATAGAAGTATCGATAGATTGAATTTATCGACAATTATTTTTATCACGTTTTTGCCATCCCTGATAGAAGTATGTATCCGTGGTACTTGAATAGTTACGACCGGATCGTGCGTCTTTTTTCTTGACTCAGATTCACGCCTTTATAGGCCACGGCTGAAGTATATTTTAAACAAATGTTAGGTATTTCATCATTCGATATCAGGTATTTCATCATCATCATCAAGAAAAAAATGTTCGACTGATGCAGCGAATGACGCAGGCTAGTCGCGACATTGTAAAATTATTCGAATTTATTTCATGAAGGTGTCACTAAGTCTGTAAGTATAGGTACTTAACTTGGGTAGCCCCAAGTCTATACTAAGGGTGCGCCAAAGTTCACCTAAATTTTCAACTCCGAAAATTGGAAATCCGAAAATGTTCTTCCTAACATTTTTCATCCTAACAATCACAATTCCTAACTACTTTGTCTCTAATGTTCATAATTCCGAAGCATCCAACTTCATAATGTCAATAGCAATAAACATCTAATATACTTTTATTTGTTTTCCTATATTTTTTCAACATAACCATCTTTTACACTATTATTCAAAGTCATATCTTTTTTGTTTAGATTTCTTTCTTTGACGATAATATTACTTGTCTCAAGTTCAAGTTTGTTGGCATTAGCACGTATACTTGAGGAACTAGGTATAAAGTGTGAGTCACGTTAAAGTGTACATATGAAAATAGATGAAACTAGACCTAATTTTATCGACAAAAAAGAGGTCAAAATTTTTTTGAGATTTTTTTTTAATTTTTTATAGAATTTTTTTTTATTCCAATAACTTATTGTAAATAAAACGTTATAACTTTTAAACTAAGCGGTATATCCTGATAAAATAAAAACACTAATAATGATAAATAACAGGCGATACTAAAAAAATACATAAAATACACAAAAAAGGCCAACAAATAATAAAAAATGATACTTTTTGAAAAAAAATTGTTTTTAAATTCGTGTTCTTTTGGTTATTTGATAAATTTCTTCAAAAAATGCCCCTATAACCAGTAGTTTTTATTACTTTGTATTATTCTCTATCGTATTACCTTCGTAAAACCAAAAATCGCATGTCTCTATCCCTATCACAACGTTTGCAATGATCGTTTGAACTAAACCTCTCCGGGCGCGCCATTCAACGTTTCGTTAACAACGAAACTGAAAATGGCTCTAGATTTGTAATTTTGATAAAGACAAGTTAGATTTCAAATAAAAACAAAAGATTTCAAATAAAAATAAGCATTTTAGTTACAATTAAAATTGTCTCTATCTGTAGCGGAGAATAATGTTGTGGCAGGCCTTTGTTCAAACGATCATAGCAAATGTTGTGATAGGGATAGAGACATGTGATTTTTGGTTTTACAAAGGTAATATGATAGAGAATAATACAAAGTAATAAAAACCACCTGTTATAGGGGCATTCTTTGGAGAAATTTATCAAATAACCAAAAAAACACGAGTTTAAAAGCAGATTTTTTTCAAAAAGTATTATTTTTTATTATTTGTTGGCATTTTTTGTGTATTTTATGTATTTTTTTAGTATCGCCTGTTATTTGTCATTATTACTGTTTTTATTCTATCAGGATATACCGCTTAGTTTAAAAGTTATAACGTTTTCTTTACAATAAGTTATTGGAATAAAAAAAAATCTATAAAAAAATAAAAAAATCTCAAAAAATTTTTGACCTCTTTTTTGTCGATAAAAATAGGTCTAGTTTCATCTATTTTCATATGTACACTTTAACGTGACTCACACTATATAGCGAATTGGTCCTATTCATAATTTATTGGTTTAACTTAAGTTAGAACTGCGACCATAACGCACGAGCCGAGCAAGCGAAACCAGAGTGAANGGCTAGGGCATGGAATTCCAGAATAAATGATTTTTTGTTAGAAATGGATTATGTAAAGTCAGTTTCAGAACCATGTTTATATAGTAAAAAATGTAAAGATGAGCAGATTATCATTGCAATATTTGTTGATGATTTTTTCATTTTTTCTAATAATAAAACTATGACTAATGATTTGAAGGAGAAACTTATGTCACAGTTCAAAATTAAGGACTTAGGTCCAATAAAAAGGTGTTTGGGCATGCGAGTAAAATATGAAAACAATTGTATTGTAATTGACCAACAACAATTTGTAGAAAAAATTCTAAAAAAGTTTTATATGAATAATTGTAATACTAAAGACATTCCAATGGAATGCAATTTGAAATTAGATAAGGCAGAATGTGTTGATAAACAGTTTCCCTACCAACAACTTATAGGAAATCTCATGTATTTATCAGTATTAACACGTCCAGATATATCATACAGTGTAAGCTATCTTAGCCAATTTAATAATTGTTTTAATTCAGTTCATTGGCATCATGCCAAAAGGATTCTAAAATATTTACAAAAAACTAAATCTTATGGTTTGAAGTTCTCTAAAGACAATTGTAATTTAGAAGGTTTTGTAGATGCCGATTGGGCTTCAAATACTATAGATAGAAAGTCTTATACGGGATTTTGTTTTAAATTATCAGGTTGTGTAGTATCCTATGAATGCAGGAAGCAACAAACAGTGGCATTGTCAAGTACTGAGGCCGAATACATGGCCATTGCTGAGGCATGTAAAGAGGCAATGTATTTAAAAAGTCTTTTATCAGAAATTGTTGATTGTAACTATACTGTAGTAATTTACAATGATAACCAGGGAGCCCAGAGGTTGACAGAAAACCCTTTATTTCACAAACGAACCAAGCACATAGATGTGCGGTATCATTTTATACGAGAAGCAGTTTCTAATAAGCTTGTAAAAATTGTTCATCTGTCAACATCTGAGATGCCCGCTGATGTATTAACGAAAAGTTTAAGTGGTGCCAAACATAACTATTTTGTAAAATTATTAGGTGTTCAAAATGTTTAAAGAATACAATATAAGTCTTAGTTAAGTTATTTAATACTTTGGCTAATTGTTATTAAAATAGATATTAGATTATTTTGATAAGTGGTGCTGTTAAAATATTATGTTTTTTAATAGTATCAAAATAATTAAATAACTACTTCATACTAGCGCCATCTAGTGTTAAAAATGTGTACTAGTGTTCCATAGCTAATGAAAAAGAAATAAAGATTGTCTATTCTCAACCTGCAACTCATTCGTTTTATTAAAGAAAAGAAAATAAAAAAGAAAAGAAACAAAACAAAAAAAAAAGAAAAGGAAAAGAAAGTAAAGAAATAAAAAGAAAAGAAAAGAAATAAAAAACAGGGGATAATAAAAAAAAAGAAAATAAAAAAGATGGGTAAAGATAGGAAAAGAAAGGAAAGAAAAACACGATTTGCTGTGTAAATAAATGAAAAATCTTTCTTCCAAAACTTACTTGATATGACTGAAGTCGCATCGCTTCACCCTGTCCACGTAATACGCTAAGCTTGCCAAGTGGTAATGATTCAGGTACCGAAGGAGGGCCTTCTTGAACATCGTCGGGGATTCCCCGTCGTGAGGCATCGCCGCTTCGGGGAGTTCGGGGCAGCTCGGGCTGAACCATAGGCTGGGGAGATAGGGGAAAAGTTAAAAGCATTGAAAAGTAGAATAAACATTATTTACTTCTTAGGAAAATTAAAAAAAAATGTTTTCGGAGTAGGTGCTAGCCTGCCAAGTGCTAAGCACAAAACCTCCAAGGTTAGAGAACGTATACATTTTCCGGAAATGACTCAAAAAATATCAATATACCTACATGTTAGATGTTACAGTCAAAACTCACAACCGGTCAAAATCACTTTTAACTGTAATAAATCAGGCAAGTTTTTATTTCGGATATCCGAAAGTTTCGGTTACGGTTACGGATATATATAACATCCCTGCTCTAGAGCAGCGTTTCTTAACCTTTTTTGTCCACAAACCCCTTAGGAAATCAAGCACAATTTTATGGACCCCTTTAATAAAACTCATTTTGGCTCACGTGCGAAGCGACTACGAGACTTTTAGTGGTAGTTATTTATGATTGACAAATGGTCCATAAATAAGACTGCGGACCCCCATAAATATGCTTGCGGACCACAGGTTAAGAAACGCTGCTCTAGAGAATTTTCTCGAGTAAGGTTACTCAAATCAAAACTCACCCTTGCGTTCTGTTCTCCCAGTCATCAATGTATAGGTTTGCTGTGGAAACCACGACCCGTATCGAGCCGTCCTCGTAGCATAGCAGCATTAGCTTACTGAAACAAACGGGTTAATAAAATGAGTCTGGCTGGTCTCTCTCTATTATTCTGTTCTGCTGATTTTTACAAATCAAATCATTCGATGTTTATTCTGCCAATTTTATCAGACAGTTGATACTGTCTTATCTATTTATTGACTGTCTGTCTACTGTTTATCTATTTACTGTTTGTCTACTGTTAAACAGTCTACTGTCAATCTGGCTACTGTCTGTCTGTCTGTCAATATGTCAAATGTCAATCGATCAACTGTCAATCTGGCTACTGTCTGTCTACTGTCAATATGTCAAATGTCAATCGGTCAACTTTTCTAGTGTCAGTCTATCAACTTCTGTGTCAATGTCAATCTGTCGACTTGTCTACTGTCTATAGTTCCAAAATACTGGACTGTCCTGTCGATGACATTGACAGTGGGGCGCCACCGTCAATACCGGATCGCTGGTTCAGATTTTTGCCATGTTGGAAACCATATAGTTGAACGATGGTAGCGCCCCCCTGTCATTGAGTTTGGCGGGACAGTTCAGCGTGGGTCATCTATATCTACCATCAATTTATTTATTTATTTAAAGACTTTATTGCACACACAACAATGTGATGAAGAGAGGTAAGGGAGGATAGGAGAGGATAAGGGAGAAAAGGAAAGAATAAGGGAGATCAAGACGACTTGATGCGTTCAAGAAAATGTTTGCGCACAGAGTGTTTGAAAACAAACTTACTAGGAGCCTGCCTGATGTGATCAATCTGGCTACTGTCAATCTGTTAACCTGTGTACTTTTAATCTGTTAACCTGTCTACTGTCAATCTGTCTATCTGTCAACTGTCAATATACTTACTGTCCTTTTCTTTATAATTTTGTCTACTGTCAACTCACGTATGGTGCTTCCCATAGGGCGTCGGCATCGACACATAATGCGTATCGATGTGTGGTTTCTTGTCCCTCAGAGTGCGTATATCGTTGCCAGTGCTTTCGTCACCGTACAATATGGTCAGTCGCTTGGCGCTGAACCTAGATGGTACTATCTTTTCCACTCAGCTACTGTCTTTCATAGTTGTATGTCTATTGTCCACCAGTCTACTGCCGTTCTGTCATCAATCTGGCTAGTTTCAATCTGTCAACTTGTTTACTGTCAATCTGTCATCAATCTGGCTAGTTTCAATCTGTCAACTTGTTTACTGTCAATCTGTCATCGATCTGGCTACAGTCAATCTGTCAACTTTTCTAATGTCAGTCTGTCAACTTCTGTGTCGAAGTCAATCTGTCGACTGTCATCTGGCTACTGATAATCTGTCAAACTGTCGATCTGTCAACCTGTATACTGTCAATCTGTCAACCTGTATACTGTCTACCGTTTATCTCTCTACTCACGTGTGGTGTTTCCCGTAAGGGGTCGGCATCGACACATAATGGGTATCAATATGCGGTTTCTTGTCCCTCAAACTGCGAATATCGTTGCCAGTGCTTTCGTCGCCGTACAATATGGTCAGTCTCTTAGCACTGAACCCAGCGAAGTAATATTGAGCTAGCAACCAGCCCGGTTCCACCATGAAGTTGATTTGAAGGGAGGCTTTTAGCTCGCCTAGACTGTAGTCTAGGAGTTCTGGAATGGAATGGTGAAAAAATGTTTTGTTATACAGGGTGACTTTGAAATTTTGCATGCTGATATTGTTAAGCAGAATAGTAGCACTTTACCTAAAAACACCTAAACCATTGTACCTATTCTTGCAAATAAATACTTCGACTTTGACTTTGAAATTGTTGGCATCATTTTAATATTCCTAAGACTCTTCTCATGATACATAGTGCATTCCCCAAATATGAGACGCATCCAATGAGATATTTTGTAATTTTTTTACTATGTATTTGTATTAGTACTATACTTATAGAGTTTAAAACTATTGTACAGTCAACAGCACATTAGCCTTTATAACACGTAGCAAAATAACACTTAATACATCGAAATAACATGCCACAAGATCAAATCAAGTACAAGATTTTAAATATTGTAATTTTAACTCATTGGATTTGTCTCATATTTGGAGAATGTACTATGTATCATGAGTAGTCTTATTTTAAAAGGATGCCAAGGATTTCTAAGTCACCCTGTATGTCTAGCGCTTGCGAGACAGTGCTTGAGGCATGGGGGCGGCACGGGAGGGGTGATTTTGACATTTATGGCAAGAGCCATAAAAATCAGAAGTCAGGCTGACATTTGACGTAATAAAGAAGACCCTTCCGTACCTCAGCTATAGTTGTGAGAAAGACAGTTATAAACATAAAATTTTAAATATGCATCTTTATTTTTTGAGCTACAAACATATTGTATTGCGAAGGCCTGCTTGCCTAAGGTCATAGCAGACTTATCAACTCGGAAAGGGATCAAAACCGTATCGCTTTCTCGCGCTGTCAACTGCAACGCAATTGCAACGAAACTGCAACTTCTAGTTACTTTTGAGTTGCATCTAAGTTTCTGCCATAGATTCCGTTGAGAGACCACACATGACGCGACCATTTCAAACCGGTTTCAAACTGGTGTGCATGTAATGTAGTTTCACACAAAAAATACTAACCGCCTCGAGTTGATACGGTTACGATCCCTATCCGGGTTGAAAAGCGTGCTACATCCTTGAAACTCCTGAACCAATTTAGATGAACTTTGATATACATAGAAATAGTTACAGTCCAAGGAAAGGACATGAGATATCTTTTTTCCGGTTTTCGAAACGGGAACACTCGCGTTATTGGCTTTATCGAAACTCACGCAGACAAAACCTATTTATCTATACTTATAATAAATCTGTAGAGAGGTCAATTCTGTACATGAAATATATTTTCAAAATAACTATCAGGGGGTGATTAGTGATCGATACTGATGCCAAAAATGCAATCAGTAAAATTTTTGTCTGTCTGTCTGTCTGTATGTTCCTTATAGAAACAAAAACTACTCAACGGATTTTAACGTTTGGTACAATTATTCTTCGTACTCCTGGGCAGGTTATAGAATACTTAGGAATTCCCACGGGAACGGGAATTAGCGGGAAAAACCTTTTGTATGAAAAATCTAAACTGCATAAGTTAGACGCCTGAAATTTGGCATGCAGGTATCTTAGTAAACTTAAAGCTTAGTTACAACAGGATATTGCAAAATTCCCACGGGAACGGGAGTTAGCGGGAAAAAACATTTGTATGAAAAAATCTAAACCGCGTAAGATAGATGAAGGGGGTAAAACGGGATCCACGCGTACGAAGTCGCGGGCGGCCGCTAGTATTTATTACTACTTTGCCTGGCCCATTCCCATTTTATTTGGGGTCGGCCCTCCGCGTCATGCGGCTCCAGGCGGCTCGGTCCTGGGTTGTCTTACTGTCAATTTGGTTAAACCCTATTTATCTTTATAAATAAAACATAATTTGACTTACCCAAGAAAGTGATAGAGTAAGGCTGATCGTGCGTCTCTTTCGCGTCCGTTATGGCGGTATAGAAGATGTGATAAGGCGCGCTGGCGGCGTGTTTGTCGGCCATGTTGCCGCGCGGCCGGACCACCTTCAGGAACTCGTCCGCGGACCGCCCGGGCGCGACCATGGGGCGGTAGGTGGAGTCTGTTTAAAATACATAGAGAATTATGTCGCAGATGGAAGTCAAAACACGGTCTTGGACAAGATGGCGGCACATAAGCGCCATCTGTCGGCTACGCAGACGGTAGTCAAAACAACAATATGACAGTAAAATTGCAAGTTTCTAAGAACGGAGGTCTCTAAAAAGATCTGATTTGGTCTCCCACCTAGGTCTTAAAGTACTCTGGATCCGACCAGCTAGCGCTATTTGTCAAAACACAGTTGTCAACAAAATGGCAGTGTCACGCTAGCGCCACCTAGCGGCTCGGTACATAGCCCATATTATTCTGAAGCAGTGGTGTGAAGGATTCGATCAGACTTTAGTGGCCATCTTGCCGCTTCTTTCAAAACACGGTCGTCAACAAGATGGCGGCGGCACGCTAACGCCATCTAGCGACGCTGTATAGAACCTACGAGTTTAGTTAGTCTCTTTCGTTTGGTCTTTCTCGCTCGCGAACTGTTATACATTGTCTAACTAAATTAAAGAAACGGTTAGGACAAGATATGGTAGGGCGCGCTGGCGGCGTGTTTGTCGGCCATCTTGCCGCGCGGCCGGACTACCTTCAGGAACTCATCCGCGGACCGCGCGGGAGCGACCATGGGGCGGTAGGTGGAGTCTGGTAGATATAGTTCCAAAATACTGGACTGTCCTGTCAATGACATTGACAGTGGGGCGCCACCGTCAATGCCGGATCGCTGGTTCAGATTTTTGCCATGTTGGAAACCATATACATAGTTGAACGATGGTAGCGCCCCCCTGTCATTGAGTTTGGCGGGACAGTTCAGCGTGGGTCATCTATAGAGAGATAGTAGTCAAACACAGTCTTAAAAACAAGATGGCGGCATGCTAACGCCATCTGTCAAAACACGGTCATCAACAAGATGGCGGTGTGACGCTAGCGGCAAAATGGCGGTGTCACGATACAGATTGGGCTAATTGCAAGTGTCTAAGAACCGAGGTCCCTAAAAAGATCTGATTTGGCCCCCCACCTGGGTCAAACAGCAAGTGGGGGGCACTTGGATCAGTATTTGGTAGCCATCTTGAGGCGGCAGGCTAGCGACAAGATGGCGGCACCCAAGCGCCATCTGTCGAAACACGGTCGACAACAAGATGGCGGCATGTAAGCGCCATCATTTTTCCTAAACGTTGTTGCCAAAAATAAAAGAAGAAAAACTGGCCTACGCTGATGATGATGGTTCTAAGCCGTTTTCTATAAAGTTTGCATTTGCGTAGTGTGTTTACTTACTTCAAACGGTAATCTTTCAATATCGACTGCGTAAAAAAGTGACATTAAATGTTTGACCGATTGTACAGCGCCCCTAGCGGAAACTTTAAAGAACTAAAATCTTCATATATTTTTAACGCTGTCGATATCGAATGCGTTTGACGAAACTCACACTACGCCCCCTAGTCAATGTCGCATATAAATAAAAAAGTACAACTTACTGTCAATAGTCATCGCGTACTCTTCATCAGTCAACCTCTTTGCCGGTCTCAATGTAGCGTTCGCACTCATTTGAACATTAACATTCGACGTAGTAGTAGCAGAACTTGTAACCATTGGACTAGTATGGTTTTCAGGTCTATTATAAGCACTTGGTCCAGGCATAGCAAGGCCGCTGGGTGAATTGTTATTATTATTGGGGCCTGGGAGCGAATAATTGTATTGCGGTCCAATGTATTGATGATAGTACGGTGATGCGTCGAATTTTGCAGGGCTCGGCATGATTGGGCCAGCTTGGTTCATGTTTTGGGTCATGCTACTTGGGATCGGTTGACGGTGGCCATTACTAAGGCAGCTTGGACCGGGCTGAGCACTTGGACCGGGCTGTGAGCTTGGTCCAGGCTGTGCGCTTGGTCCAGGCTGTGGTGAGGCTACTCTTGAGGTAGATGGCCCTGCTGTTTGTGTGGGTAGTGATGGTAGCATGGTGCTGGAGCTGAAATAAAGACAGTTTTGTGCATAAAGGTTACCTCGTTCGTTCGTTTCAGCCAAATGACGTACACTGCTGTACAAAGGCCTCCTCCAAGGTTTTCCACAATGAACAGTCCTTCCCTGCCCGCATCCAAGCTCTTCCCGCGACCTTTACCAGATCGTCGGTCCACTTAGTAGGGGGCCTGCTCACGCTACGTACAGTCCTACTTTTATACAATTTTACAATTTATGCGTCAGCCCCCCCTAGACAAGTGGCAAAATGTGTGTCTTTTTTTTTGTATGGAGTTACAACAGCATAGCATGCGATATTTGCATCTAGAAGGTTTTACATCATCAATGCCAACTAAGTTTATTTTATATATAATATACATATTATGTAACTTTGTAAAACCAGTTTTGCAGACCTAGTAAAAAAAGACAGATTTGATTTCCCATTCAATTAAAAAGTGGCAGGCACATCAATTGGTTAAGTTTTTTTATAAAATTACCCAGAAACTAATATGTAGGTAATAATAAAAACATTCACCTGCTAACAGCCTTATTCCCAGGCTCATACGTTTTCTTGTCCAGCATGATTTGCAGCTGTTCCATCATCATTCCGCGCTGGTTGCTGTAATGGTCTGGTATGTTGAATCTGCCGCAGCCATCGTACTCGTCTAATATTGATTCTACTGCAAAATAAAATCAGTAAAGGCTTTGGCAGACCAAACGCGGGGCAGTAGCAGCGCAGTTTGAATGCGGGCCCGCGCAAGTTGAAGTTTCTTGTAACTCTTTGAAGTGTGTCACACCAAATTTGAACGCGGGCTCGCGCTCCAACCGCTACGCGCCGCGCCGGTCAGAAGCGGCGCGAGCGCGGGCCCGCGTTGTTGTATTGCCATGGCGGCCATATTAGCATAACAAACCGGAGGCAGGGCGGTAGCAGCGCGTTGAAAGCGGTTTTCGCATATTGAATTTTTTGACAACCCGCGTTGCAACTGCTTGAAACTGCGCTGCCTTCAGTGTGGCTACTGCCGCGCTGAAACTGACCAGCACTGCTTCTGACCCGCGTTTGGTTTATGGAAGCCTTAAGCTGGTACTTAGATCTGTTTAATTTTCCCCCGGGACAAACTTGGCCTAAACTGTAGATCCTGGCTACACAGGAGTTGCAGCGGTGGGAACGAGAGGTGGGAATAGTCCCGTGTTACTTAGATCGGACTTTCTACTATGGGCGTATGCAGGAGGGAAGTCAAGCCTCCCCCCTGTAAGTCGTTTTGAAGGAGCCAAGTCACACTATCTGACCTAAAAATTGACTTATCCTTCCCTAGGCCAGAAGCTGGGTACGCCCATGCCTTATACCAGCGGTTCCCGAATGGTGGTCCGCGGAACCCTGGGGTTCCGTGGAAAGGCCACAAGGCAAGGGCCATGAATGGGAATTCAAAATGAAGTCTCTCAACAGATTGCACAGTTAAATATTCTAACATCAAATAAAATGGAAATGAAATAGTGTTAATGATGCAGTGATTTCATTGAAGGATACAAACCCACAAATCTATTGTTTGGATAGTTGATATTTGGAGTTATATAGGATTAGGAATAGGTAGGTGCTAATCTACACTACGATCCACCTACACTACTATTATTAAACAGAAAAGATTTGATTTTTTGTTTTTATTGAATAAGCTCCGAAACTATTGGACCGATATGGAAAATTCTTTCACCATTGGAATCATACATTTTTCTTATTTCTCAGGAACATAGGCAGCACAAAGTTTGCTGGGACAGCTAGTTAACAATAAAAATCACAATCATATGAGCATGTGAGCGCAAAATAGAGAGTATAGTATTTTTCCAATAAGAATCCTATATTCATAGATTCCAAATTATATTTATTTACTGGGCTATCAACATGAGATACAATGCGATACAAAATGTTGAAATTAAGATTACTATCTGGTCTGGTTTAAATGGAAAAAATTATAACCGAACTCAATTTATTGGGCAATTTTCTTAGACTAAAAGGGAATAATTTTGATAACTACCCACATCTTCAAATAAGAACTAATAAATTATAACTGAGCATTCGTTTTAAAGGTACTTTTAACTTTAAAAAGCAGTAATATTGAAGTTAAAGCGGTTTTTTTATATCAAAACAAGTGAAAAGGTTGATTTTGAAAATGTATTGTAACACTTACAATGAGGATGGCAGTATTCCATAAAATGGGTAGGATTCCGTCGGAAACAGTTCTCCTTGTAGCTACATTCTTTTTTCGGTCTTTTAGGCGATATTCTTTCTAAAATGTAAAAAGAAAAACATGTAATAATTGTATTGCTTTCTCTACAAAAATCTCTTTAAATTCTTTACGAATTATAAATATTTATTACCGGTTCTTGCAGTTGTACGCTTACTGGGCACACTCATATTGAAAATAGTATTTGTTTTCTTGATTTTAGAGTTATTTCACTTTAAAATCCGGTTGTTTACGTATTTTCCACGAGGAAAACGTGTTTGACAGCACAGATTAGAGAGTATGTTTGACAGTTTTTTTGACATTAGCTAACGATCTGTCAAAAATCTGGGATGTACGTTCCAAAACTAAGTACATAACTATGCGTAGTTTTTTTACATGAAATAAATTAAAACATTTAAGTTTATGAACAATCTTACCAGTATAAATTCACATTATTATATTAATTCTTTTATTTTGTAATCAAGTATAATTAGTTACTCATTAAGTTGTTTCAATTTCAGAAATCACTTCATGGATATTTTGTTTTTGTTCATCCTTTGAACGTACACTCCACCAAAGAATTGAGATTGGATACACGTCCAAAACTTCTACCTGTAACCAACATGATTATTAAATTATTCTGTTTGTTTAAAAAAAAAACTTTTTTATTCACTTTTTCATGTGTAAAGTAGTATTAATGTAGCTTCACTTGCAGATTAATTGTCACGCGTCTCAGTACGCGCTTGTTACAGACATTTTTAAATGTGCATTAAACCGTGATTGTATTGTGTATGTATCCGAACGTAAAAACTTTTTGTTTTCGTGGGTGTTTTTTGTTGAGTGATTTTAATTACATTTGCCCTCTAATATCCGGGTAACGTATTTACAGATTCGCACCATTGCCATAGTTATTTTATATTTTTATTCCCAGATGGAAATTAAGGATTTTTAGTGGAAAAAAATAATTGGATCCCTTTTGGGTAAAAGCACAGATCACAAATAAGTTACGTTTTCACCATCAATCCGTATTTTTCAATGACCCCTATGAAAACAAAAATCCTATTAAGTGTTACCATAGGGGTCACTTAAAAATTAGGGATTGATGGTGAAAAAAACGGGCAGAAGTCTCCTCCATCTTTTTATAATTGAAGGATTTGAAGGTTAATATGAATAAAATGGAGTGGGGAGGCCTTTGTCCAGCAGTGGACGTCATTTGGCTGAGACGACAACGACGACGATGAATAAAATCTTATCCATACACTTAAACATCTTTTATTTTCATTTATATTCCAGCCAGGTGCGCGTTTAGCTCAATCGGGTTGCAGATTAGTGTGTTGATCATAAAATTAATATACCTAGCGGAATAGAGCAACAAATAACTGAGCGAGCGAGATGTCACTGGCAGAAACACTGTGTGATAAAAAGAGATGCGTGATGCCGTCGCCGTCACGTCAAACAGAACCATTTTTAACAGTTCAGAGGCATACAGTGGCATGCTGAAAATGTTAACTTTTATACATAATCATATTTTCAGATTTTACGTTAGTGAAATCGTGATTTTTTAAGAGAAAACTGCTTCAGAAACTTGGTGCCTGGTTCAGTGATTGATTTATTGTACAACAGTGAAATATTAATCCTGATACTGACATACAGGTGTCATACAAAATTGGTTTCGTTTGACAGATCGTGGTCGTCGCCCTATTCCGAAGGAATATTATCTTTATGGTTTTGATTTTTTTTTGTTGTATTTATTTATTTATTCGGCCTGGCTCGGCGCTGCTGCCCTTAGGGATTTCTCCAAGTTCTTCAGAGCTGGTGTGATGCTGCTTCCGAGGTCTTCCACCACACTTGAGAGGTATGCTGGAATAGAAATAAAAACGTAATTTCAAAATCAAAAGTCGAACCGACAAATCTGTTAAAATTTGACACCCTGTATTTTTATTGCATGGGTCATTAGGGTTAATTATAAGGATGAAATCTCCTTAACGCAAATAAATTATTATTTCTATTCTATTCTAACAAACTTTATAAATGAAATGAAAGGAAAGCCATGAAATCTTAAATTATTTTAATTATTTCCAAAAAATTATATGGTATGGTCGTGAATTTTCGGAAAATCTTTGAATGCAGTTCTCTTTCCTTTAAAAAATAAAGGAATGTTTTCTTTGAGTAAAATTATCTATCTACAGTATTAAGAGTATAGGTCCAAAATACTGAACTGTCCTGTCCTATCCATGACATTGACAGCGGGGCGCCACCGTCAATACCGGATCGCTGGTTCCGATTTTTGCCATGTTGGAAACCATATAGTTGAACGATGGTAGCGCTCCCCTGTCATTGAGTTTGGCGGGACAGTTCAGCGTGGGTCATCTATACTTTTCCTTCAGCTTACATTCCAAGATTATAATATACGTACCAATATCAGTAAGACACCTCTTAGTTCCCAAAGCGTCCATGTTGCGAATGTTCAGTATCTTCTCAGCGTACACTTCGCATGTGTGTGTGCATACCTGTAAAAAATATTATTAAAACACCTATGATAAGAAATAAAATATAGGATTCTAAAATTTCTAAAGGACGTAAGACACTTATCAACCCTGAAAGGGATCGTAACCGTATCAACTCGAGGCGGTCAGTATTCATTGAATGAAACTCCATACTGCAACGCACACGTATCCGCACCGTAACGTAAACGACTCGTCTCGCGGTCGACGGCGCGCGAACGGAACTATTCTCTCTCTTTCCCACCGCTGCAACTCCTGTGTAGCCAGGATCTACAGCTTGACCGCCAATAACCCAACCAGTGAAGGCCAAGTTTGTCCCGGGGGAAAGTTGAACTGTCATTGGACCCGCAACGAAATTAATCAGAAGAACATAGGAGGAACAACAAACATTGTAGGTTTGTTGTCGACACGAAAAGAAGATAGGAGAAGTTCGAATTTAAGGTTCGACATCCTTCTAGTGTAAAGGTCATAGCAAACTTATCAACCCGGAAAGGCATCAACACCGTTTAGCCATTCGCGCGCTGTCAATGAGGGCTATCGTTTTTATACTTAACAGTTGGCATCCCTGGCGATTGACAGGACCTTACTCTACAGTGGCGTCATCTTGATGAGTGCAAATGCAATAGTCCTCCTACCACTTTCGCGCTCACCAGTTGGTGCCACTGTCTTCGCTACTAGCAAGTGACAGGACCTTACTCTACAGTGGCGCTAACTGGTGAGCGCTAAAACGATAGCCCTCATTGCGAGGCGAGGCGTTTACGTTACGGTGCGGATATGTGTGCGTTGCAGTATGGAGTTTCATACAAAGAATACTGACCGCCTCGAGTTGATACGGTTACGATCCGTTTCCGGGGTGATAAGTGTGCTTCGTTCTTAAAGCGGATGACAGGTGACTAAACAAAAGTTTAACTAACCTTTAAGATGGATTACTTTTGTAAACTTATTTAAAGATTCTTACCTCAGATAAAAACTGCCAGGGGGCTTGCTTCTCTGATAAATGCATTTCTAGATGCTGCGGTAACGTCATTAGGTACTGGCCAATCTGTAAAATAAGAAAATTCGTGTAAATATTATTACAGTTCCGTGAAATTTTCGTCTGTGCGAGTTTGCATTGAACGTTGTCGCTAGCGAGTACGTCAAAAAAATGATTTTAGTTCTTGAAAGTATCCGCTAGGGGCACTGTACAATCTGTTATACCACAGAATAATAATAAGTACTACGTACAGAAGTTTTACTTCGCGAAGGTATTTAAAGAAATGTATACTTAATGTCATTAACAATATGGTGTAATTTAGCCTGTCTCAAGAGTCAAGCACCATTTTGTTGACAAACGTCAGTGATCGGCACTGCGCCGAAGCTATAGGGCTGACTTCGGTAAAATGATGTGACGTGAGGTGCCAAACTGCGGAAAATGGCGGAGGAAATACATGATTTAGCATGAATTATCATGAATAATATTAACTACTTATTTACCTCTCAGTGTCTTGAGGCAATTTAAAAAAGTACATTCTGTGTTTTTATTATTATTTAGGCAGTTAAATACTGCACAGTATTTAGTACACCATTTTCTTTATTTTCTTCCATCATACAAAAGAATACGCGTGCGTGAGTCAATGTTCGCTCGTATGTGAGGCCTTGTCGAATAGTATCCTGTAGGTGGGCCATCGTGCGTGTTTTGTTTTCGATGTAAACTCGCGGAGATGAACAGGCCTGGTTATACATTTAATGTAATTTTTTACGCTGTCGCTAGCGTTTGAGGTAAACTCGTACTAAGCCCCCTAATAGCGGTTGCTCTTTCCGTTAAATAAGACATAGGAAGAGAGAGTGAAAACTAGCACTTACCTCAGTAATGTATTCCTGGGGAGACAGGGCGAAGTCGGGCAGATCGGTGGACAACGCGTCGTTGTTATTCCAAACGGGAAGCTGGGGTATTTTGTCTGTTGATAGAAAAAGTATTGTGTCAAACTTTATTGGGAAATAATTTAAAGTTTGTAGGAAAAGATGTTGGTTTTGTAAAGTGACACTAAAATCAAGTGGCAGTGGGCGGGGCACATAGCTCGTAGAGACGATGGCCGTTGGGGCAGGAAAGTTCTCGAGTGGCGACCACGGGCTGGAAGACGTAGCGAGGGCTGGCCTCCTATTAGGTGGACCGACGATCAGTTGAAGGTCGCGGGAAGAGCCTGGATGCGGGCAGCGCAGGACCGTTATTTGTGGAAAACCTTGGGGGAGGCCTTTGTCCAGCAGTGGACGTCATTTGGATGAAACGACATTTGAATTTTAATTAACTATGTAACTAGAACTTTTTTATTTATAGAAAAAATCAAAAACGACTCAAAAGGTGCATAAAAGCATAAAACTTTAACACCGCGATGCAGGTTAGCATGCGCGGAAGCGTGCTCCATAGTAAGCTTGCATCAGCGCCATCTGTTGACTGATTCCTGTAACTACTTTGTAGTGGCGAGTCGATAGGTGTCGCCACTCTCATACCAAGCTGTGACTATGTGTTCTTTCAAATCTTGCTCCAATGAGGGATATCGCTTTTGAAAAATCCGCCAGATAGCTATACTACGTATTGCTAACGCGAGGTCCAAATGCTGCATGATTGGTGGATTTTGACATATCTGTCAATGTCATGTCAAAAATAACCAATCGTGCAGCGTTTGGACCTCGCGTCTACGTATTGCCATCTGGCGGATTTTTCAATCGCGAAAACCCTCATTGGAGCAAGATTTGAAAGGACATATAGAGCCACAGCTTGGTGTGAGAGTGCTCGCTACTACAAAGTAGTTACAGGAATCAGTCAACAGATGGCGCTGATGCAAGCTTGTTATGGCGCATCATCATCGATTCATTGGGATTCAAACCTGGGATGACTTACCAAGCTGCGCCTCCACCGGCCTCCTCAGTACGGCCCTCGCGAGCGCGCGCAACTGGTCCTTGGTTCTGCGGAGCGCGGCCAAGGAGGGATAGGCCTCCGCCCTCAACGAAGACAGTTTCTAAAGAGCTGGCTTGGTCACTTTTCTTCTAGATTTGGCTCCCACTGGGAGTCGAATCCGGGATTTCTGACGCCCGTATTCACGAACATTACTATGAGGTCTCATAGTGCGCGTGGACGCACAGGGTGACACACACCAATCACAGAGCTCTATTCGAAGCTGTGCGTTTGATTTGCAGCTTCACTTAAGCAAGTATCGTTTTTGAATACGGGCATCAATTACTTACCTTCTTCTTTCTCCCAGATTTTGTTCCCTCTGGGAATCGAACCCTAAGGTCTCATTGACCCAGATGCAGTCTTCTCAATATAGCAAGATCCTTGGATTTCCCTTTCCTTTCTTAAAGCTCCTGCTGAGAATCGAACCCGGGTGTACTTACAAATCTGTGCCTCCTCAGTATAAGCTCACAACGCCTAGTACTTGAACCTCTTTTCAATTCTTCCTCCTCTTGGGAATCGAAGCTAGAACCTTTGAACACACTCACCAAGCAGCGCTTGGCCGGCCTATTCAGTATAAACCATCTCGAGTTTCTATACAGGGTGTTAGGTAAATGGGTATATGAGCCGACACTAGCCCATGTTAACATGGCCATATAAATGGTATGGTGAAGTCAGAAAATTGATATCTTCATTTTAATTATTTTAATTTTCATACAAATCGGATTTTATAAAATTTATTTTGTATGAAAATTAAAAAAAAAATGATGATATCAAATTTCTGACTTCACTATACCATTTATATGCTCATATTTACATGGGCTAGTGTCGGCTCATATACCCATTTACCTAACACCCTGTATATACTAGCCCGCATTATTTTTTACCATCTCGCCTTTCTATTTATACTAGTCAGGAAAAAAAACTCCGTCACCGCGATGCAGGTTAGTACGCACGGCCGCGTGCGCCATAGTAAGCTTGCATCAGCGCCATCTGTTGACTGATTCCTGTAACTACTTTGTAGTAGCGAGCACTCTCACACCAAGCTGTGACTTTATGTGTCCTTTCAAATCTTGCTCCAATGAGGGTTTTCGCGAATGAAAGATCCGCTAGATGGCAATACGTAGACGCGAGGTCCAAACGCTGCATGATTGGTTATTTTTGACATGACATTGACAGATATGTCAAAATCCACCAATCACGTAGCAGTCAGACCCCACATCCACGTCCCGCCATCTAGCGGATCTTTCATATGCGAAAACCCTCATTGGGATTCGAACCTGGGATTACTTACCAAGCTGCGCCTCCACCGGCCTCCTCAGCACGGCTCTCGCGAGCGCGCGCAGCTGGTCTTTGGTCCTGCGGAGCGCGGCCAAGGAGGGGTAGGCCTCCGCCCTCAACGAAGACAGTTTCTAAAGAGCTGGCTTGGTCACTTTTCTTCTAGATTTGGCTCCCAATGGGAGTCGAATCCGGGATTTCTGACGCCCGTATTCACGAACATTACTATGAGGTCTCATAGTGCGCGTGGACGCACAGGGTGACACACACCAATCACAGAGCTCTATTCGAAGCTGTGCGTTTGATTTGCAGCTTCACTTAAGCAAGTATCGTTTTTGAATACGGGCATCAATTACTTACCTTCTTCTTTCTCCCAGATTTTGTTCCCTCTGTAACAGACAGACAGACAGACAGACAGACAGACAGAGTTACTTTCGCATTTATAATATTAGTTGGGATGAAAATTAAAAAAAAAATAATGATATCAAATTTCTGACTTCACTATACCATTTATATGCTCATATTTACATGGGCTAGTGTCGGCTCATATACCCATTTACCTAACACCCTGTATATACTAGCCCGCATTATTTTTTACCATCTCGCCTTTCTATTTATACTAGTCAGGAAAAAAAACTCCGTCACCGCGATGCAGGTTAGTACGCACGGCCGCGTGCGCCATAGTAAGCTTGCATCAGCGCCATCTGTTGACTGATTCCTGTAACTACTTTGTAGCAGCGAGCACTCTCATACCAAGCTGTGACTGTGTGTCCTTTCAAATCTTGCTCCAATGAGGGTTTTCGCGAATGAAAGATCCGCTAGATGGCGGGACGTGGATGTGGGGTCTGACTGCTGCGTGATTGGTGGATTTTGACATATCTGTAAATGTCATGTCAAAAATAACCAATTATGCAGCATTTGGACCTCGCGTCATTGCCATCTGGCGGGTTTTTCATTCGCGAAAACCCTCATTGGGATTCGAACCTGGGATTACTTACCAAGCTGCGCCTCCACCGGCCTCCTCAGCACGGCTCTCGCGAGCGCGCGCAGCTGGTCCTTGGTCCTGCGGAGCGCGGCCAAGGAGGGGTAGGCCTCCGCCCTCAACGAAGACAGTTTCGCGCGGGGACCGCTGTCTAGTAGTAGAGCTGGCAGGTCTTCGAGTATGTGAGGTTCTGATGGCTCTGAAATGAAGGTGTTGGAATTAGTTCCGGATTTGGCCTAGAGATGGCGCTGCTCCGTTTTATTTCGCGGTGTCATTTATTGTATAGACATTTTGTGTGAAAATGGAGAATGTTGGTTTCGAGGGCTCTGAAATATAGGTTTTAGAATGAGGGCTACTGTTTCAGCGCTCGCCAGTTCGCGCCACTGTAGGTAGAGTAGGATTATGATTATTGCAATCGATTATGAAGTTTTACTACGCGGTTTTATTTGTCATACAGAAAATTTTGAAGGAAATTGGGGAATTCTAATATGGTGTATCCCATAATAAGCAAAGAAAAGAAGATCTTGGTTTAAATAGCAAAAAATATTAAATAACCACTTAGGTCCTAGATTTTATTTTATTTTATTTATTTATTAGGTACACCAACAAAGTCACATACATAATACAGTTCATACATTTTAACATGGTTTAACACATGATACGTATAATATGACCTCAATTACAGGTATACACAGCATTTCTTTTTGCAATGTTAGGGTAATTATACACCAGTAAAAATAAAAATCAATTGAATAGAGTTTAGAGATAACGAGATAAAGACTTGTCTGATGGACAGACGACCATATTGGCTCGCTCCTTCTCAATGAATGAAACACTAATGCCCGTTTTCACCATCAATTCCTAATTTTTAAGTGACCCATATGAAAACAAATTTCATATTATTTGTTACCATAGGGGTCACTTAAAAATTAGGGATTGATGGTGAAAACGGGCATAAGTGCCCTAAATAGTCTGCTTGCGACCTTTTTTACCTGACTTAGATTACCTTCGTCCTTGCTCTCTCTTAGAGGTGGGCGCCACACCGGCGCGCCGCCGCCGCCGCGAATTTTTTCACGCCGCCGCCGCCGACGACCAGCTGTCGGCGCGCCGATACTGATACTGTACCAACTACTTGCAATTTATTCCTCTTCTATACTGTACTAATTTGTGTTTCGAACGCAGAAGAACTATTTCTTTATTGAGTTGAGCGTCTATTCTAGTTCAATAAAGTCCTAGTATCACTGCGACCGGTACCGATCTATTGTGAGTGGCGCTATTTTCCTTACAGTTCGCCTCCGAGTCCTGCATCCATTAGGAATTGCAGTATGTTTTGGGGGGCGATATGTTTTACATCTTGTGGGCTTAGGATGTGTTTGCCCAGGTGTAAGCTCCGCTTGCGCATCAAAGGTCCGCAGTCCGTGAGAATGTGTAGTGGCGTTTCATCTGCCTCATGGNCTTTGTAGTAGCGAGCACTCTCACACCAAGCTGTGACTTTATGTGTCCTTTCAAATCTTGCTCCAATGAGGGTTTTCGCGAATGAAAGATCCGCTAGATGGCAATACGTAGACGCGAGGTCCAAACGCTGCATGATTGGTTATTTTTGACATGACATTGACAGATATGTCAAAATCCACCAATCACGTAGCAGTCAGACCCCACATCCACGTCCCGCCATCTAGCGGATCTTTCATATGCGAAAACCCTCATTGGGATTCGAACCTGGGATTACTTACCAAGCTGCGCCTCCACCGGCCTCCTCAGCACGGCTCTCGCGAGCGCGCGCAGCTGGTCTTTGGTCCTGCGGAGCGCGGCCAAGGAGGGGTAGGCCTCCGCCCTCAACGAAGACAGTTTCTAAAGAGCTGGCTTGGTCACTTTTCTTCTAGATTTGGCTCCCAATGGGAGTCGAATCCGGGATTTCTGACGCCCGTATTCACGAACATTACTATGAGGTCTCATAGTGCGCGTGGACGCACAGGGTGACACACACCAATCACAGAGCTCTATTCGAAGCTGTGCGTTTGATTTGCAGCTTCACTTAAGCAAGTATCGTTTTTGAATACGGGCATCAATTACTTACCTTCTTCTTTCTCCCAGATTTTGTTCCCTCTGAGAATCGAACCCTAAGACCTCTGGGTCTCATTGACCCAGATGCAGTCTTCTCAATATAGCAAGATCCTTGGATTTCCCTTTCCTTTCTTAAAGCTCCTGCTGAGAATCGAACCCGGGTGTACTTACAAATCTGTGCCTCCTCAGTATAAGCTCACAACGCCTAGTACTTGAACCTCTTTTCAATTCTTCCTCCTCTTGGGAATCGAAGCTAGAACCTTTGAACACACTCACCAAGCAGCGCTTGGCCGGCCTATTCAGTATAAACCATCTCGAGTTTCTATACAGGGTGTTAGATAAATGGGTATATGAGCCGACACTAGCCCATGTTAACATGGCCATATAAATGGTATGGTGAAGTCAGAAAATTGATATCTTCATTTTAATTATTTTAATTTTCATACAAATCGGATTTTATAAAATTTATTTTGTACTAGCTTTCCGCCC